AATGCTGGCGGTAGTTTGAAAGCACACCCAAATTTTACGTGGTCTAATACAAAGCGTTGAAACCCAGGCTAGAAAAATTGGCCTAAATTTCAATCCGGCAAAAAGCGAAAGCCTGGATAAGTCTACAACAAGAGGACTAAGCTAAGCAAGGTTCAGAGAGTGGCGTGAAAAACCGCTGTAGTTGCATTTCTTATAAGCATAAGTAAAAATTCAATACTGGGAATAAACCCGTGGATGGCAAATGGAGCCCTATTGCTTGCAAATACCAACTGTTGCAGGCAGTCAGAAATTTTAATCACAAAAATGTTCGAAAATAATAAATACATGTAAAAATAAAATCCTTTGTGTTCAAAATTTCAAAGGGTGTTCTGGTGTTTAAAATATGTGTATAATTATTTTGTATTGTAAGTATGTACGAGTATGTGCCAGCATATATACTTACACGAATATCACACAACCGCAAAACTATAGAAATTATGAAGCAAGTCATGTGTGCAATGAGCAGCAACGGGCGAATAAATATAGAAAATGGCTACAAAAAAAAAATTGCTAATAATAAAGTGATTGTGTGTTAAATATGCACACAAGTGCTTATAAATACAGTAGATTTTGCACAAAAATACTAAGATACATGGTTGAGTGAACATAGAAATGTGCACTTTGTGAAAAAAAAAAAACATAAACACAGATCTGGCTGAGATATTTTTAACAACCTTCAGCCTAGAATAAAACCTCACTTATATACATACATACATATATGTTTTCTAATGGAAGCGAATACATTTATATACATAAGCTTTCGTACATAGATAGCTAAGTACCTACATACAAACATCTGCACCAACATACTCGTAAATATGTGGGTTCAAGACGATTTTTACCTTACAATTCCAACTAATTCACATAGCAAATATGTATTTAGGCCCAGACACGTGTAGTTCCTTGCGATTTGTGTCTCTGGTTTGTTTTTGTTTTTTTTTTCTTGCACTTGTGCCATTTTCGATATGCTATGAACGTCTAAGCTCACTTTCAGCCTCACGTACCAGCGATTACTGAATGTGTAATACCTACGTCACTATTTTTTTACTAAATACATACAAACGTAAATATATACATATGTATGTATATGGCTTTGCTCCAAAGAAGGCCACCACCCCAGCTGACGGCTTGCCATTGGAATATCGCTACTACGCTGCACATTTTCAAGTGTTTGTAAAATTGACCTTTACTGTTTCGTCTATAGAGCGGCAATGTGTATCAAGGAGGCTTAGTGTAAATCACGCTTCGAGGGCGTTGGGGGGATGGTAGACTCAATTGAGCTTACATACTTTGATTTTATCACGTCTAAGGATTTCGCTGAATGTTCGGATATCAAAAGACTTGTAGGTTGCGAATTTAAAAAAAAAAAAACAAGTAATTTTTAAGCAAAAAGCAAAACCGACTTCAATTGTATAAAAATTTAAGAATATCGTTAATTTCTACATGATCCAGTGATCGGATGTAAACCAAAGTAGTCTGAGTTACCCCCTTTGAGATGGTGCGGTTACACACATAAAAGAAATTGACAACCTTCTCCTTTTTTGAAGTTGGTTAAAAAAAAAATCTTCTATGATGATAAGTTTTGTGTATAAAAATTTGGTTGGCGGTGTATACAGGAGCAAGCTATTTAAGCAACCATTAAACAATTACCACTTCTAGGAAGAGGCCGAAAATATAAAAACAGATGAGACATTTTAGCAACTATATATATAATCTATATATATACAATATATATGACTCAAACAAATGACCACGTATTGATTTTTTTTTTTTTTAATATTCGTAATGTTTTTCGAGCTAATTTTTTTTTTGCTATTCTTCTATAAAAACGAAAACGATATAAATCACAGTCCTAAACCTTATACAAATTTTAGGAAAATTTAACAAATTACTGAGTCTTTAGAACATTTGTGGGTATGCAGTTTAATTGCCCATATAGCTTTAGTTTAATGAAGTGCAAGTTTTAATCAGCTAAAAAATCGCGTTGATTTTTGAGATATTCTTTTTTTTTTGGAGACTACTTTTTCGTTTTTTTTTTTAATATAACAAAGGCAATTTACAAAAACTGGCGTTGTTATTTTGAAATTTTATTGCAAACGGTCGCCCGCGTTTTCTTTCATAAGAAATTCATGCATGGAAAAAAATGCAAAAATCCGTCACGAAAAAAAAATTTTCAAAAATCAACGAGATTTTCTAGCCGTGGTCATTTGTTTGAGTCACTGTATATATTACGTGAAGGGATTCTTTGTCCAGGACAGGACGATTTTCAAAAATAAGATGTCATATTAGAGCGCTTGGTCTGCAAATTGACTTTGGTTTTTCGAAACGAGTTGCCACCTGTTGAACAATTAAACTCAAATTATTTAATAAACAATGCCATCATGTCCATCATCAAATTAAAAGGGTTTGACTTAGGTGTGCAATAAGGTTTCACTTTATTGAAAAGAGTTGCCAGCTTTTAAAAAATTTTATTCAAATTATTTAAAAAAATAAATCAATTTTTACAAAATGGGTATCAATCGAAATGGTTTTCAAAAGCTTTGTTTCTTAGCTGAACTATAGTAGGGTTGCCACATGTTTAAAAAATCATATTATGTATCACCATATGGGTGCCAAACGAAAGGAACGTCAGAAAGCAGTAGTTTGAAGATATTTTGAAGAGGGTTGCCACCTGATTGAAGTGTAAAATTTAGTTTACTTATACACAATATAAAAATATGGATGCTAAGGAATGTTAAGAAATCTTTGGATTGAACGCTAAGAGTATTTTTGAGGTGTTGGAAAAGGGTTGCCACCTGTTTAAAATGTTAAATTAAAATAATTTAAGAACTTAAATGAATTATTAAAATATATGTATCATTCGAAGGGGGTTTTAAAAATTTGTATTTCTGAACTGTATTTTGCGGGGTTGCCGCATGTTTGAAAAATCAAATTCCACTAATTCATCAGTTAATTAAAATATGTATCTTTATGTACGGCGAAGGAGAGTTAACAAGGATTAAGCTTGAAAATACTTTCCGAGACGGCTGCCACCTGTTTTAAAGGTTTAATTTAATTAACTCATACAAAAAGTATATGTACAATAAAAATATCATAGTCAAACGAATGAATGTTAAGAAATCTTTAGTTTGAACATTTGGAATATTTGAATTATTTAAAAAGTTGCATGCAAACTATTCAATAAAAGATGGGTATCAAACAAAATAGGATTGCAAAGTCTTTATTCCAGATCTTTTTTTAGGAGGGTTGCCATTAGTTCGAACAATCAAATTCAAATTAGTTAATCAGTTTATTGAAATGCATGTTTATAACAATGTCAGACAAAAGAGATTTAACTAATAAGATTTTAGTTTGAGAATACTTTTGAAAAGGAATTCGAAAATGAGAGGTCAAATTAAAGACCTTAGACTGTAAATGTGTGATAAAGTTTTATTCGTTTTTAATTAAAAACTTTTTTCATCGGTATAGCGTGAGTTGAAATTTGGTGAAATTAAACACATGCACTATGCGAGACATTTGGAATTTGGGCATTTCCCTTTCGTTTATTTAGGTTTTTTAAAGCTCGTTATCTAACAAAAGCCATGTAAGTCAATATTTCAAACTTTGTACAAAAATTAGCAAAATTGGAAAAAGTGTCGTCAAAATTTTGAGTGTGTTCGCGCGTAGTTGATGATCTTGCAAGGAAAGCTATAGGAGCAACTGGGGACGCCTCTGTCCTCCTGGGGTGGACCGAGAGCGGTCAAACAAACTTTCTAAGCCTCAGCTGCCACTAGTGGTGGGGGTTCAGACAAACCATTGTGCGATTGGTGTTCACACGGTAAGACTGGGAATCTCAACTGATCCCTTCGATATCAGCTGTCAAGAGGAAGATAAAAGAATCAGAATAGATAGCCATCGACTCTGAACTTGAGTCTGAATTCTATCTCAGATTCTTGTAGAGCACTTATTGTCTAAACAGAGCAGAGAAAGAATCTGATTTCTCTCCTTGGATTAATTTAATTTAGCCTGGTAGAATTGCAACTAACTTGAACTTTGCCGTATAGGTCTACCGTTATAAAGTGCAAAATAATTTACAAAGCTTTGGTAGGAGTATAACGTAGACCTTCCGTGCTAAGCATGGAAGCTGATCGTTACACCCGTTCAATTTCTATACTGCAAGACAGCAAATGAAACTGGTTATCGGGCAGCATAGTTAACATCGACGGTCTACTCTCTCTATCTTACCTGCAGAAAATGATTATTAAGTCGGTTATAAGTACTCGCGCTTCGACCTCGAAAGATCTACTGCGCTAAATCGTAATTTCAATCACTCCAACCTGCGGCTATTTAAGAAATTAAGCACATAAGATGGTGGCATGTTCCAAATTTTAGGTGGAGAAGATAATCATTTCCCCGGGTATATAAGTATACAATACATGATACGTGAACAGTCACATATAATATAGCCTGTGTTTTTCTCCACAGCCTCCTACAGCCTCTACAGAAATCGTCATTTTATTTGGTCCTGCCAGGAAGCCAGTAAGATTTCTAAGACCCTCCACACTAAGTTCAAGGAGTCTTTCGTAGTTTCTTCTGGAAGGATTTATGAATTTCTTTGCTTGTGCCTTTCACTTTGACTTCTCACCTGTAGAATAAGGCTTGTACATGGTATTTTTTCTGTATCCGATGCTTTCGGTTTAGATGTATTTAATCTGTAAATAATGGCATGGCTGAAGCTATATTTAGCAGATCTATCCGAGGTATCTGAACCATCCAGCATCAATCAAGAAACCCTTTTATGCTCACTGATCGAACTTTTAATTAACTCAATCAAGTTCTTCTATTTCGATTTGGTTTTAAATAATAAACACATATCTCTCATAACTTTCGGTTAACTTTAAATCTCGCCGAAACTAAATAAATTTAGAGTCAGCTAAGCTTTAATTTTCTTTCCTAAATGAATGTTTTTTCAATTAACTTACCGATCGAAAACCGAAACCATGCATATGATTGCCAAACAGTAGAATGTATTTAGATAGATCTCAGCAAAAGTGGCATAATCCTTCACGAAGCTGAATGTTTGCTGAGAGCCACTTAACATTAGTTTATCACTGCCAGCGTCTGCACCAACACCGCCACCACCACCGCCACCTCCGTCTACCACCGACGAAGCCGTTGTCGACGTCGCCGCCTGTGCCTTACATACAGTCTCGCCCGCAAGACTAAGTACCCGCGACCAATCCATCGGATGACTGCTTAACACGAACAACAAATGAGCCAAAGCTAGACCAGCTAGCAAACCATGGCAGATATTCGAGATGAGTATCCAAATTCGTTGAATGACGCAGGCCAGCTGTATGTTCGACGTGATCTCACGATGATGCCTATGGAGAAAGGGAAGAAGAGAGAAGATAAAATGCGAATACTAAAGCTGATGCGATTGCAGAGGGATAAACTGGGAAAATGTGCTAGCGAAAAGAAAATGGCACGCAATGGGCTTTAATGGATTTAATAAAAATTGGTATACATATATGTAAATGGCAAATTGAGGAGCGGTTATTTACGTTTGCGCTTTTCGAAAGTACAGTTGAGTTTTCCCACCACCTACAGCTGAAATTTGTACGTTGTTGCTGTACATATATGGCTGAGTAGCTACACATATTGGCAAAGAAAATTGTAATAAATTTGCGATATTTACGTCATTGTAATATTTATTTTTTTTTTTTTTTAGGCTTTTATCAACCTCAAGTTTTGCCTTTCCACCTTCTATGCGAAACGTGACATTGCTGCGGCAGAGAGCCCGAACACGCCAACACACACAATACACATACATACGTATTTATTTACAAATGTTCATATGTAACAACAAATTAGAGTCGCTTTCAACCACCTTTCAACGCCTACATTAACCTTTTCCAGACGGTCATTGCGTGTGCCGTAGTGTCGCGCGCCTAGAGACGTGGGCTTATGGTTCGCCGCAACCACGCCGACCACCCACACAACCTCCTGGGATATGCCTGCATGCCGCCTTTATTACACTCACCTATAAAAATAGCTGGGTCTACGTGCTATGACCTTTTTGGTATATTCGTATTTTTTTTTTTTTTTGTATCTTTTCTTACATTCATTTGCTGAATTCGTACAAATTTTATGTAATTTGCGTAGACGTAAGCTCTTTTCGAGGCAAATGTTGGATATGTTGCAAATGAGACTCATTTCTATTTCCCATGCGAAACCAGTACGTACAAACACTTTCCCACACACATACGCTCATATGTACATAAACTATATATAGACTCAAGCATGGATTGTGCGTTTATGTTCTGCGATTTTCTCGTTTTCGTTGTCTAAAAATAGCTGCCAGCATTTTATGTACATACATCGACAGCCAAAAATAAACTCGACTGATGAAATTTGTGCCTAACGATGATAGCCCACGACTTTTCTGTGCGAACTTTGAATAGGTGTAGAGGTGGTGACAAGCAAAGCTCTCATAGCAAACGTGGAATATTTCTTTTTTTAGTGGTAAAAGTTACTTTGGAATTTAATATCGACTGCTGAGTGGAAGATCGACCTATCTCGGCAGCCAGTTCGAAAACGCTCTATCTCAAAAATCTTCTCAGGAACGCCCTATTTCAGAATTTTATTGAAAAACACCCTATCTCAGAATTCGGTTGAAAAACGCCCTATCTTACTTCAAAATATATTGAAAATGTACAGATATAGGGCGTTTTTGAATCGGCAGCTGAGATAGGGCGTTTTTGAAACGAATTCTGAAAAAGGGCGTTCTTGAAAAGTTTTTTGAGATAGGGCGTTTTCGAACTGGCTGCCCAGATAGGTCGATCTTCCACTCAGCAGTCGATATGGAGACCAGGAAAATCGAGTAGCGTAAATGTAGAAATATTTGTTTCTTTTTTTAAATAAAAAGGATGGTTGAAATGCTACAAAATGGCTATATTAAAACATAAAACTAATAAAAATAAAGCGGCATGCAAAAATCCCACGAATACTAATTTAGTTGAGATGATTGGGAGTCATATGACGAAAACAATACAGTTGACTAAATAAGTTTTTGACGACGCGTCGTTCAAAAGTCAGACACATTTTTTTTTCTCACAGCTATGTCACTATAAAAATGGCTATAGAGCCTTAAGCTCTGAAGTTTTAATGAACTCCCAAGCTGACAAAAGCACTTCACATTGAATTTCGAACGAAACAGTTGTCGCAGATGTTTTCTGTCCGGTGCTCTCCAATATAAAGGGGAAGTTTACGCGCTGTCGTAATATCGATTTTTCTTCTTCGTCTTATGTGGCACTCCAATCCTATATCGGTTGGAGTGGAAACCAAATACTTCGCCGATTTCCTCTGTATTTTTCAAAGCGTTTTGTAACCGGTAAACTTTGTTACCACCTAATAAGAGAATAAGCAGATATTAAAACATGCAATAGTATACGCTTGAATCTGTCAAGCGCAACTTCAAAGTCGAAGTGGAAACCTAATCGAGCAACTGGATATCCGAGCAATTCTATTCCATCATACCGGACCACAAAATCTTAGGTAGGAAGCTGCAGAACTGCTTTGCCTCGTTTAAAAAATAAATAGTGGAAAACGCTTCCGGAATTTTTCCAAGATACATATATTGTTTCAGACAATTTTACCGATACTATACTTATGCCCTGTACACAGCTTTCAAGTAAACGGCCAAGAAAAAATTGCCATTATTTCGTGTGTGTGTGTCCAAGGAATTTTGACATTTTTGATAATTCATAGCCTGTTGCCTCACTCTTTCCTCAAGAAATAATGGAACGGGCATATATTTCTGTTGCAAACCTGGGTTGCCTTGTGCTCTTTTTTTTTACAAAAAAACTTTAGAAAACCGTAGTAGAAAGCGTAGCAAATTCCTTAAGTTGTTGTGTGTATGTGTGATTTTATCGATAAAAAAGTTTTAATTGCGTATGCATGTTCGCTTTGAGCAAATTGTGAGCACTGGTTGGGGAAATCTTCGGTAAATTGGGCAAATCGCTAATTGGGCCCCAATTGGGCCAAAATTAGAGTCGAATTGGGAAAAACTTTTTGCTCTGATCGGGCAACCTCGAAAAATTTCCAGCAAGGAAACTTTATCATAATGGGCAACAATTTTTGTGCTCTCAACTGGCACGAAAATTTGCTAGCATCATATAGGTGCATTTTCAGAAAAAAAATCATAAATCGAAAACGACGAATTTTAGCATATTGCTACTCGTACTGAAAATAGTTTATACTATTCCCTAATAGACAAAAAAGTTTGAGAGAAAAAAAAGATGTGGCAATTTGAAAAAAAAAAAATTTTTTGTTTATAAACAATAATTAATTATTAATAAACAATTACTGATGTTCAGTTCACTAGATCGATTCAGTAGATCAATATCTGCAATTTAAAAAAAAAATCGTTAAAAACCTTGCTTTTTTGCGGCAGTTATAAACGATTTCATCAAAAGTTGCTATTAAGAGAGGAAAAAATAAGCGTTCGTACTCAAACAGAAAAAAATTCATTATTCGAAAAATTCGCATTTCTGAGCAAAAAGAAAAAATACGTGTCTCCTTAAATTGTTCAAAGAACAATCCCTGTGAGTTTTATCGCAAACTTAAATTCACTTTCCCCCGGCCTGGGTGATTTGAGATGGAATGAGCCAAATGATGTTGCGTATACGCCACGTTAGACAGATTAATCGGTACTCGGTTCTCTGCAATCCCTTGTGAATGCGTCAATTGACAATTTACTTGTATTAGCTACTTATATTCCACCATAATAACAGATTGGCGCTTATACGGCATGCACGTTAAGGTTGCCACACAAAGGAGAGGGACCTACAGTTTTACGCTGACTACGAACGGTGACTGAATTTTTATTAGAAGCTGGCGGACGAAAACCTGCAAACCAATGTACCCGAAGTCTTAACGAAACCTTCAGGAGTATCTCATTTCTGTAACGATTTTTTTACGAATCTTCAATGAAAATTATATGAAGTGGTTGACATGAACTCCTAAACAAATTTCTGTACGAAAAATGCAGAAAATTCTACAATAAATTCTTCACATAGCTGCATTACTTTCATTGCTTTACCGATTTTCCTCCGAAATTTCGTAAAAGAATCGAAGTGTGCAAGGTTTTTTTTTCTTTAGATAATTCGGCAAAAAATTCGATGAGATCTTTACGAATTCTTTAAAATTTCTGTACAATCAGAAATCTTCGAAAAAATGGTTCGCAGGGTAAATACTTATGTATGTATATGCATATATGTGAGAAAATCATATCCCTATACTATTTCTATATTCTTAAACTAACTTTCCAATAAAACAGAAATTGTCAACTGGCTTTAGACGTCGTCACATTTACCATCATAACATGTCGCTGCAGATTTAGCTAGCAGCAGCGCAAATTTGACACCCACACAATATGCCTTATACAACCGCCGCGGTTTTGTTCTTTTTGTTGCAAAACCAACCGCTACTCACCTTCCACACTCGGCATCGAGTAGGCAACGCGTATCGCCAAAACTACCGCTCGCCCGCAACATGCCCGCATGTTCCATACCACCAGCCAAGCTGCCGCCCGCGGCTGACAATCGATGTGCACCACCAACTATGCCATAGCGCCCACTACCACCGCCAGCAGTGCCACCTGCACCACCAGCTATTCCGCTACCACTACTACCGCCTCCACCACCGCTGCTGCCACCTGCTGCCCCTACGCCTACAAACGAATGTTTATAGTAGCAGTGCTCAACTGGTCGATATCCCGATGACGTCTGCAGGAACATTTTGTCAATGTGTGCGGGCGTATCCTCCTCGGTGGGGGAGACAACCGGTGTGAATGGATTGTAAATTTCCTCACCATCTGCGGGTATAATGTCATCGGAAAGCTCGCGCAATATGGAAGAGAGGCCACCAGCTGAGTAAAGTTTGCCTGCAATGTAAGAAGAGAGCATGTGTTGGTAAATAGAAATTGCAAAGAGAGAATTTATTGCATACTACATACATATGTATGTGCATGGTGTATATAAGTGGGTACAAGCGAAGAAAATTTGTGTGCCTTGAGAGTAATGTTTGATTGATTGAAAGAAAATTTGTTTGCACAAACAGTCCAACAAAAATGAAAAACAAGTTTGCTAGAAAAGCTGATAGAACCTTCCACTTAGGCTTAAATAAAAGCTAGAATACCCAACTGCTTCCAATTACACGGAGCAACACTTAAGAAGACGAGGTCAAAGTGTCGAAAAAAGAAACAAAAAGCGACAAAACCCTTCACTTCGGCTTAAAATAAAGCTAAAACTCTCGACTACTGCCCCTGAAAATATCATCTTTGCACCTTGACCTGATAGTCACTTATACATACTCATTTATGACCAAAATCAAACTGTTAAAAAATCGCATTTTTTCAATATTTGGGAAGCTCTAGAAAAGAAACCAAAGGTTATAGAACCTTCCACTTAGGCTTAATTTAAAGCTAGAACTCTTGGCTACTATTCCTGCATTCCTTGATTTGACCTAGGACCTACTACTACTAATAATAATAATAATAATAATAGGAATACTAATAGATTGGCGCTTACACAATGTTAGTGTTTGGCCGAGCTTCTCCTCCGACTTGTGGCGTGCGGCTTGATGTTGTCACACAAAGCGGAGGTAGAAGCTGCCGAGGAACGACCGCTGTTAAGAAAAAACCTTTTTTCTATATTTTTTGCGATGTTGCTTTGACCAGGGCTTGAACCCAGGTGCTGAAGAGTGAAAGCGCGCACTGCTTACCACTACACCACAGCGGCCTATAGCTTCCTAAATATTGCAAAAAACGCGATTTTTTTAAACTTTGACTTCATTTTTCTCAAAATCCAGAGCTGATGGAAACTTTTTACATACGGATTCTTAATCAGCACCAAAAATCCTAACAAAAACAGCTTCCAATTTGTTTACCATTTTTGTTGGCCTATGCTATAGAAGACAAAAAACTCATACCCGATCACCAATTTAGCTTCAGCACAGAGCACAGTACGATTGAACAGGTTCACAGACTTGTGGAAAAAATACACTCCACTTTCGAACTGAAAAAAATATTCAACTGCTGCGTTTTCCGATATTTTGCAAGCTTTTGTAATGAAGCAAAAAGCGGTTGCGATTTTGGATCAAGACCCATGCCAAACTCAAGAAGAACTTGCGACATTAATAGACGTGAACCAAAGGTGGTTGACAGCTGGCTCAAAAACTGACGAAGGGGTAGGAGCAGGAGTCTTTGGTCTTAGGGCCAAGATCTTCATTCCGCTGGCGAACTACCCTAGTATATTTCAAGCGGAGGTTTACGCTATCAGTGTTTGTGCGGAAATAATTCTGCAGACACAAACGAGAAATCAGCCCATAGTTATCGGCTAGTCGGTTAAGAAGTGCACATTAGGAGAATACGACTGAACTAAGGCAGGCGAAAGAACTTCTTGGAAGCTATAATCCCAAAAGATCTAGGGAACTAATAACTCCTCAAAAGATTAACTTGAGATTTTTAACAGGCATGCTAACGGGGCGCTGCAGACCGCGAGCCCATATGCATACCCTGGGGATTAGTGCAGACGACCTGTGTCGGTACTGTGAAATGACACCAGAAACCCCACGACATCTCCTCTTAGAATGCGATGTGGTTGTGAGAATAAGACTAACACACCAGGGCAGGACGGGACAGAAGGACGCCCTCGAATTTGCTTGGATTCATTAGAGCACTGTGGCTGGATGAAGTGTTTTGATGAGCTCTGAGGACAGAATAGACCTAAGGTCGCAGTGCACATCGCCTAATAAATCTAATCTAATCTACGGGTGACTTTATCATACATTTCATTGCGATTAACAGCCATTGCTATGGTCCAGGGGGAACACTTTTCCATCCTAGGGAATGTTAGCAGGACTGGAATTAGTGGACAAGACGAATCGAAGGGCCCATGAAACGATGACAAGGTCGATGTTCCGCCACGCGTGGCCTTCGACCTTGCAAATCCACCACAGACCATGTATTTACAACCATCCAAATCTAGGAAAAGAGTCCTGATAATAGGATTGACATAGACTATCTATTTGACGATTTCAAAGCCGCCTTCGGCAGCATGCATTGACGTTGTCAGTCTGCTCTTGAACTGGGTTAGGCTACGTGAAGTACACTACGAAAATTCTTGGAATAAGACCATGGGAAAGTTTATAACATCGAAAGGGATTTGTATCACATATGGTATAACAGCGCTATTATTCTTAGCCTACGTATGGGGATGGTTCAGCCTAACCTAAGAATTATACTTTACAATCCATTTTTGCTTTTCAACGCAATTTTTGTATTGGCCACAAAGTGCTAATCAGGCGCCGCGTAGCAAGCCGGGATTCGACCATAAAAACGAATATTAAAAACTTTCCCGACTTCAGCGCCACCTAACAGGTCATAGCAAATCTATAAACCATTGGGGCGTACACGCAATAACTTATAGCAATCCAATGACCAATTCAAGTATACAGAAGGTCCGGCACTTTTGGTAAGGATGAATTTAACTATGCTGATAAGTGTTTTCTATTCGTGATTGGCTTTCAGAAATCCGTGATCGGTACATAGCTGCCTGTGAGCTAGACATTCGACACAAGGCTGATTCTTCTTGTATGGTTCTGTTTGGCAGATCGGACTCAAATCATAGTCTTCGATTTCCAGAGCATGTAATCAGATAACATGGGTTTAAAAGCCGTCTTTAAAACAGTGACCGGGACCGCATTCCGGTTTTGGGTTAGCTCTGCACAATGGGGTAATTTTTTTATTACTAATTTCGTATTTTTTGATTTTGATTAGCATTAATTTACATGTCGATCGATGGGCTAAGAATTGCGGCATAAATCAATGCAAATCAAGAGTACAAAATGAACGAACGATTAGGTGGGAGGAAAACGTTCATTACCGGCTCAATTGTATGCTCTTAATTTAAACAGCTTTTAAGAGCGCAGACTAAAGAGCAATCTTTGCGCTCATATTTCATTTGTACCGCTTTGACACTTTTCGAATTCTCATATTTCTTACAAACTTTCGCAGCTAGCTTTCAAGCATCCATTACAATATGTGGCTATAAGGAAATATATGTATTTATGTATGTATGTTGCAGATGGGTGACATTCCAGCGGGTGAGACACTCTGTCGTCTACCTCTCTGCAGGCTACAAATAGCGAGGCTAATAATAGATTTGTACTGTTTGCTACAAGGAATCACGAAAAGATACGAATTTCCGTTTGGCTCTGGTCGATGGGAAATATCGCAGTTAATTTGTGAGGACAAACACAAATAGCATTTAATGACAGCTGGGAATTATACATACTACATGCAGACAGAACAAATGCTGAGTGCATTGAAATCGTTTTGCTGTTTTTCTACGGCACACCCACAATCAACACTGCATGGTTGGTTAAAATGACACAGCACCCGCAGAGCACTGCCTTTGACGGTTTCACCTTTTCAAACTAAACTACACAATCCGCACACCACCTAAAGCACCAAAGCACTTTCTTCACCTCACCCTTTCAGCCTTCTTTGCCCAAATACTCACTTATCAAATGCCCACGCTTATCCCGTTGCGATTTTGTCTTCCTATGCACCCGTCGTTCATCGAAGTTCTGATCGATTTCCAACTCGCCCGACAGTGAGGCGTCATTCATCTCTGAACACTGCTTCAAATATCGCATTAAAGTTTCGTTCGCTTGTCGCACTTCCATTTCACCAGCGGCGATAAGTTTACGTTCGCGCCGCCTACGCGATTCCGATTTGCTACGCTTGCGACGTGGACTCTTCTCCAAACTGCTGCGTGAACGTACCGACCGTTGTGCGGGACTCGCCTGTGGATCGGATAATGACTGCAACTTACGCACTGTACCGCTACCGCCCCCGCCACCGCTTGCTGCGCTACCACTACCCACACTCAGCGCTGACGGCGTTGGCGAGCTGTGCTTCAATTCACGATCCATGAAACCCAAAATGCCGCGATGAAACGAAGCGTCCACTTCCTGCGTCCGTCTCGCCGGCGATTGTGGTGAATGTGTGCGTCGATGACGATGACCGTGTGTTAGTGTAGGAGGTAGCTGCTGTAGCGTTTCGCGTAAGCTAAGTGCATCACCGGATGAGTTGCGACTGCTGCCACCGCCGCCGCCGCCGCCGCCCCCACCTCCATTGGGATGTGCTGCCGTAGGCGACTCTAACTGTGTATTGGCTTCTTCCTTCGCGCCAGCAACGCCAACGTCTGTGCTCGAACCGCACACCGTCATCGCTTTGGACGCCTGCGTAAAGTCGTCGCCGTCATCGCCCTCCTGCGGCGGCGGAGAATGACCATTTACAAGCAAAACTGTAGGCTGCGATATGGTCGACGACTGACTCACAGAAGTGGCGGCCAACGGATCCCCTGCTTCTGTGGAAATCGCACGTCGTTCATGCACTGTGGTGACACTGATGCCAGCGCAGTTGCCATCCATGCCGCCATCGCCGCCGCTCAGGCTATCTTCTGCATCCCGCTCGTCCGCGAATTGTGTGAGCGCTGTGGGAATTTCAATTGTAATTGAAGTTTGTGCCTCAGCTCCAGCGATGGTGGTGGTGGTTCCGGTGGCGGTCGCGGTATTTCCCACTGCCACGCTCTGCGAACTGCCTGCTGTTGTCCGCGCCTGACCACGACGCTCACGCACTGGCGAGTGAATTGCGTTTGAATGCGTTAGCTGTAGTGATGTTGGCGATTGTTGTAGCTGCTGGTTGCTGGGTTGTGCATTGTGCGTTGGTATCGTCGTTACCGCATCCGCTGCAAGAGTTGTTGTCGCTGTCGTTGTTGCTGTTGTTGGTGTGATTGTTGTAGTAATGTTTCTGCTCTGTCTGAGCTGCTGCTGCTGCTGGCCATTGCTATTACTGTTGCTGCTCTGACGCTCGTGCCGATGATGACGCGAATCCGAACGTCGGTGACGATGACGATGCACCTTCGGGGTGGCTTCCATCTTTCAGCAGTTCTGGCTATTGCAGCCAGCCGTGTGCTTCAGCCTACACGGAAATGGATTGGCGCTTGCGTTTTGCTTGCAATTGCTTTGGTTTGTGGGCTGCACTGGTGGTTGGGAAATTGGCTAAGGTGATTGTTGTTGTGGTTTATGGTCGTTTGTTTTTATTTCGTTTCGTAGCCAACGATTTTTTGCAACTTTTCGAGCAAATAAGCAACTGCTGCTGTGATACGTTTCAAGAATGTAGAGTTTCTTCTAGCTACTTGTGGCGCACTTTGTTAGTTGAGTTGTTGTTTTTAGAATTTTTGTTAGCCCATTTCGTTTGCTTGTGATTTCTACGGTTTAGAACTGCATTCTTTCTTGGCTCAAAGTGGTTGCGTTCTTCAATTTTCTACACTAGTAGACTTAGCTGTTTTTGTTTTGCAAAATATTTCTTCATTTTCCGTACTTTTTAAGAAATAAAGCAGTCTGAAGCGCTTTCAGTAAGTTCAAACCCGTGAATTTCACTTGATTTTACTGTTTCTTTCTTTTTGTTGTTATTGCTGTAATTTTAGTTTAACTTGTTTTTGTGAAACCTTCACTTTTCATTGACCCACAAAAAACTAATCGAATTCAATCGAAATGCTCGCCAGGCTGTTGTAATGCCCTCGCGCCTATCCTTCCTCTTCTCTGCACCAACAAGCTACTGCCTTCTCTTCTTCTTCTTCTTCTTCTGCTTTTTATTCTTCTTGCCCGTTGTCAGCCACGCGCCTGCCGCTGCTTATTGATTTTATGTTTAATTAAGTTTTGACATTTGATTAAATTGTCATTTCGCGCTTTTATCGCTCAATCAAATTGAATATGTACATACGTATGGCTGTCCGTGTGTTTTCCCTTTTTATTGACTGACTTCACGTCGTTTACTTCCTGTCAGTTATTTGAGCTACATACATATCAACAACTTTCCACACGCGCGTACTAGTTTTTCAGCTCCTCTCCTTGTGCGCCTCGTGCCGTTTGGTCCAGTTCGCTATGACCTAAATAGCTTTTCTGGGTAAAAGTAAAATATTCACTATTTCAAGCATTGCAGCGCCTTGCAATTGCCTACAAAACAGTAGCCAGCATAGAAGTGTGCATGTGCGTGTGCATGTGCGTGTGTATGCGCGCATATCCTTCATATCCTAGTTGATTGCTTTTGATATCAAATTTGCAATTTTCCAAATACTTTCCATTACTTCAAGCATTTCACTTAATTGTTTTGAATTTCGACAAACTTTTGGTGTTTCTTTTGTTTGACTTTGTTATTTTAGTATTTTCTTGTTTATTTACTCTTCAGATTGCCATAACAAACACTACACTTTCCCTCACTTTCCTCCACTTAACTCCCCTTCACTTCACTTAGTTGATTCAATACTTCAATGCTACACAATACAATTGGTGCTTTTGTTCGCGACGCGTTCGCTTGCGTTCACGGCTCTTAAGCGACTGACTTGGCTTTAGCACTGCTTATGCCCAAAATGGCTGGCTGACTGGCTGCTGCTAAAGGCTTTCCTTGCCGTAAGTATGCTTTCATGCTTTCCTTCACCGTTCACTGTTCACTGTGTCTGCTGCCATTGACAGCTTGACTGGCGTATTGGCTGCTGCTGCGTGGTGGTCGCTAACTCTGCCAAGCCACTTTCTCTTCCCTCGTTCGTTCGTTCGTGCTAGCAAACGCCTTTGTTGTACTCGCAGTTAAAGCTTTATGATGACGTCAACAGTGCCAAAGAGCGCCACCCATGCGCCACCTTAGTATTACTTTTGAGCTGCCCACAGTACATAGTGACGGTGGGTAGTAAATTTTGAAGTGTTTATGGAGAAATCTGTGTTTTGTAAAAATACTTAATTTTTTCATTGAATTTAGTTAAAGAATAAAACTGCATTCGTATTTGTTTTTAATACTTCGATTTATGATATCGCAAGCATTGCTATGCACACCCTGTTTCACAGATTCTCCCCTTCCACAGCCATAACCTCTTTTTTTGTTGTTAACTACGACATGTTTGTTGTTAATACTTTTACATGTTATTCCCCAAATACTTTATTACTTTTGTTTTTGCTCTTGTGTTTAAGTGGTCATTTTGCTCGTGTGTATGCCCTGCCAGAAAACGATTAACTAGTAAAACAATCTGCGGCAACTTGGAGATTTTTAACATATCAGGAACCTGTGCCTCATAGACATTTACAGAAGGGATCTGTATTCAGCTCGCTCACTGCACCTGTAGGTAACTCGACCCCATCCGATAAGTTACTCTTGAAAGCTCATTCCCCTTAAGATTTTGAAATTACAGAGGAAAACTCGTATGTGAACCAGCGCAGCTCTCTGGCCTCAGAACGTCAAGCAGACGACTCATTAAGAAGGGCACTAAGTTACCGTCGTATTGAGAACTTTACAAAATAGAACTAGAAAATTAAGGGACCGCAATTAAGAAGGGTGCCAGAAGCCACCATATTCAGACGGTTGCTTGCGAGACGTGTGGCTCCTCCGGGATATTAGTGGGACGAAACTGGCGAGAAACTGGCCAATTATTAGTTTTTCCTCGATGCCCATTTTCCGTGCAATCCAGTCTCAGGAGACACCTGCGATTTAGGGGCGTAAGATGGCGATACATATGACCTATTGAATAACCGTTGACTTGCTCTTTCAAGCACTTTAATTCTTTCGTCCCAAGCAGATTTGCAAACCACTCTGAAGGTGTCTGGCTGGCTCTGGGAAATTCAATTTAAATTAGACATATGCTTCCTCGCAGAAGATACGTTCATCTAAATTTCCATCCAGTTTCGATTAATCGGCGAATAAGTTCACAGGCGCATGGTTCCAGACACTACCCCATGCCTAGTCTTTCCTGAAAGGAATATAGATGTGGAGGAACCAGTGCTCGGTTGGGCCGGTAGTAACTCGAAGCTTTTTAGAACTCCCCCTGTACCACCGTAAAGTATTTCGTCGAAGCGCGATTGAACCTAAGGTCGATCATACTTTCCTGCTCTGATGCAGTCAGTAACAAGTTTTGGTTTCTTTAACCACCACCACTGTAAATACGTCCCCCCAAGCTCCTTTAATAGATCAAGTCAGTTGTCTAAATTTGGTCACATCCAACGTTACTGGCATCGCCTAATTTAAGGCGGGAGAAGTACGCTCTAAAGCAGCCGTGCCCACTTCGAAGTAGAGTGACACTAAAGTCTATTTCGTCATGCTTTCTTGACAGCCAGCTTTCTATGTGAGGTATGAGCCTGTGCGTCCTTCGACCTCTATTGGAGTGATCCCATCGGTGTTGCCACCCTCGGTAGTGATTTACAGAACTTTCCGTGAGGATCGCCGCGGTTTGAACTGTACGTTTCTTGGACCAAGAGTTCGACAGGATGCAGACATGAGATGACCACCGCTGCATCTTCCGACACCATGCCAAATGCCTAGCAGACTCTTAGGCCGAGGTCATGCAATGAGCGGCTGAGCGGTGAGCGATGAGCGGCTGACTTGCCCCATACATTGCTTATATGTCTTAAATTTAAGCCGCTCAGCCTCTCGCCGTTTTGTCGCTCATTGTGTGGCCTCGGCCTTAGGGTGCAAAGTCTATACACTATATGGCATAGCCTATATGTGGGGAGGGTTCTGTTCTTCAATCATTTACAAAACTGACTCGATTTACCACACTTCCTTTATGTTGGCCAATAGGAAAATTCTTTAAAGGAGACGACAAAATACTTAAGTACTTACATGGTGTTTTTCAATAAAATTCTGAAATAGGGCGATCTTCAGTCGAATTCTGAAGAAGGCCGTTTTTGAAAAGTTTTCTGAGATAGGGTGTTTTCAAAGTGGCTGCCCAGATGGGTCGGACTTCCACTCAGGTGTCGATTTGCTCCCTTTAGACTAAATTTTTTTACCGTGTAGTATAAACTAGTACCTACATAGATTTGTATGAAGTTATGCATGCACAAACTTACAATTATTTCTTCTTCCTTCTGTCGCCATTGAAGACACATACATTTATGACGTCTTCCTTACTTACTGTTGAATCTGAAGCGCATGCGGGGAGAGCAAGAGCAATGACGAAAACTAACTTGCGAAAAACTCTTACCTTCTGAATTTCAAGATGCTCTTATTTTCAAGCTTGCTCTCCCTTTCGCAAAGCTTATTTTCAAAATACTTTCAACCAAAGCGCATGGGCCATTTTTTGCTCCCACGACTATATTTTTAGGTTGTTTTTTTTTGCCTTAATACAAAAGACGCCAGCACATAGCCAACGCGCATGTGGCGCACATTTTTGCATGATGACGTCAATCGGAAAAGCTCAGGATATAATAAATCAACAAATTTCCAACAAAGAAGAACAACGCAACTGCAAAGCTACATACATACATATATGTGTATTGTATAAGTAAAAGTACTGTAGCAATAACAAAATCAAGCAAAAGTAAGGCGAGCAGCATCAGTAACAACGCAGAAAAGCCGGCTGCAGAAAGTTTGTCAATAGCAATAATAATACTGCCACGACAGCTTTTACTGCTACTACTGCTTGAAGGTGCTTCCTCTTCTTCATTTCAACAGAAGCAAAATACACAGTAAATGAGTTGCGTGCTCAATGGAGTGAGGAATTTTGGGACAAAAACGATGATGCAGCCGCCAACGCCAGCGTCACAACAAAAACGACAGTGGCGAGCGCGAAGGATGGGCGGTCATAGAGACGTGGGCTGATGCAGGGTTTCGTAAGTGGACATACATATATCCGTGCAATCACTTAGTGGGAGTACGCATCAATAGCAGCTTCAGAGTGTTGGTGGCGCGCAACGTTCTGTGCGGCTATACGGGCTGGCTGACGCGCAGCTTCGTGGCCCACTAAAAAGAGACTCGAGTCTGTATTTAATTGCTTTTGAGACATTTTCAAAAGGTTAACAACGCCAACGCGACAACGATTTTTCGGGTGTCACACAAAAAAAAAAAAACAAAAAAAAAAACAACGATGATCCAATAAGACAGCTGCGGAAATTATTCAAGCTTTTAGCGGGCGGCGGCGACGCATAAGAAGAAACAAAAAATATCAAAACTTTTCGAAAGGTCAAAGTGACAGCAAGAGATAAGGAAAAATGTGTGTGTGTGTGTGTGTGTGTTCTTACGCGTTTTATTGCTAGTAGTTACTTGTGCAAGAAAAAATTCCATTAAGACCCATAAAAATCTGTGAAGTCACGCAGTGACAAAAGTTTAAGCACAAAAAACCCAAGACTTTATATGCTCTTGATGTCATCAACACAAAGTGGCTGCGGTCCAATTTCGCCACAGATTTATTAAGCTTCACTGCAGCCGGTTGCCTGGTGGCTGTGTCACGGAATTATTCGCATTTTCCCTTTCCTTAAGTCAAACAGCCAACAAATGTACCGGCCAGTCAGCTAGTCAGCTATTTACCCAGCCAAGCGCTGTGTGTGCCAACTTAATAATCAACGCTCGTTGAGCACACGCATTTGTTGTGACGTCACGCAAGCAAACAATACAAAACACATTTGAGGGTATGCTTGCACACCAACACTTTGGAAAAACGAAACGCTGACGTCAGTCCTTTAGCCTCAAAGGCGAATGCGGCTAGAGCCCGCATTTGTTGGGTGCAAGCAAAAGCAAAAACACAAAAAAAACGGGCACTCAGAGTGTCACAAAAAGCCTGAATGCTTGAGTGCCTAAAGGCAGTGAAATGGCTGGTGGTGTAAAAATTGCTCAAATATGTCAACGACAATGCGCTTGACACACGCAAGCCCAAACACTTTGGCACAAAAATGTTTTATGCAAAAATTGTTCTAAAAGCCAATGGCGGAAAAAAAATGAGGACAGTGAGTGAGCAAGAAATCAAGTACAGATTAAATAACGAGCGAAAGGAAGAAAGCTATATAGTTGAGACTCGACATGTTGGACTTTAATTTTAAAACGTTGTGTATAAAATAGCGGTGTTAAAGGTCGACATAGTTAGTTAGTTATTTCAATACCTGGGTGTAACGGAACAAGAGGCACCACGACTTAAAAAATATTTAATATCCTTAAAGACGGAATCTTGAGCGATACTCAAGTGAAGATAAGAGGCTGTCCTTTCTCCGTTGCTTTGGTCACGTTCTCGAACGTTGCAGGTACACCTCTTCGCGTGGTCTCAAACTGGTGTTGGGAATGAGGGCCTCAGCTTAAATCTACGGAAGGTTGTTCTTATGCCGTTTAAAACAAAGTATAAACCAAACGTTGGTTCGGTCATTCCTGGAGGGGCAGTGCTTGAATACTCCGATAAGGTCAAATATCTGGGGATTAAGCTAGATAATAGACTTAATTGAAACTCCGAGCTTGAGTGACTTTTTGGATAGGCCGATACAGTGTCTCCTTCGTATGATCGTCCGTCCGGATGTGTCTTAATGCATCCATAGCATGGTGGCAGACGACACTGCAAAAAACTGCCTTACCAACCGCCTTTACCAACTGCAAAGATTGGAGCAATTAGAATGTGCTCTAAAGTCGTTTTTAGGACAGACTCCTCTCCATATTTTTATCTATGAAACAACAGCCACGACGGATCTGCAACCTTGACTATCTAAGGACGGAGTCTCCACAAAGAAGCTTGCAGGTATTCTGATGCCATGACTAAAGAGATCTACTTTGTTAGAAATTTCGAATTGATAATAACCAATCGCGAAGGTTAGGCAAAGGGGTTCATAACTCCAGCCAGGCAAAAAGTCCTTGACGTTACCCTAGCCTCGTCTTCGGCAATATCCCATATCCCCGACTGGACATTCTTGATGCTCACTCTACGACGATAGATAGATATTTACAGATTTCTCTGGACGAAGGCCGTTCTAAAAGTAAAGCAGAAACTGTTGAAACTACTCCCAGAAACCCCCAGGGATGCTCAAGTACTGAAAGCTCGATTGATTATTTTGTAGAGAAGTTCGCAAGAGTGGTCCTCGCGCAAAGTCAGACCGAAGTGGTTGACGATGAATCTCTCTGAACTCAGCGCATCGTGCAGACGCATTTCAACAAAGCCAGGAAGAGCGGACTACACTACGACTGGGAACTCTACACGGATTATAAGTTCGAGACAAGAAACGGTAAAAGCGAGACATTTCTGCAAAACCTGAGAAGGCTTCTATGAATCGTCTCAGTTAGGCATATCCTCGTGAGGAGTTCTGTGCGCTTTGGATACTTGAGCACCGATAAAGGCAACTCCACGATAACTAGAGAAGTATCGCTTAAGCTACTTTTTGATACTCATTTCCTAGCTAATTCCGCACCGTGTGAGCCTACAGGTTTTGGTACAGAGGGCTTCCTCGCTTCTTATAATGAACTACTGGAGAGGCACCGTCTGCTATTGTCAATTGACTTGTTCGAGCGTTTCGAGTCCCTTGAACCGGATGGCATTATCCTTGCACAGTTGCGAAGGGCAATAGTGGTCACGTATCGCTGGCTCACTCCCATCTATGTGAGCCTACCAGTGTTGGTACGGTAGGCTGCGCTGCTTCTACTAGTGAACTACTGGAGAACTACCGGCGGCTATTGGCAATTGACTCTTTCAAGCGTTTCGAGTCCCTTGAACCGGCTGGCATTATCTCTACACAGTTGCGAAGGGCTATAGTGGTCTCGTATGGCTGGCTACCTCCCATCTATTCGAGCTGCTTACAAAGGGGTTATTTCCAGGGTGCTTGGAGAAGTGTGAAGGTAACGTTCGTTCCCAAAGCAAGAGGAGACGACTCCATTTCGTTATTTCTTCGTATTGAATACCCTTTAGTGTCTCTCCGGGTCTAAACTCTTTGAAAATTCGCTCCGACAAAAAATAGGAATCGGTGAACCTCTAATCACAATTATCTTCTTAAAAAGTACGTTAATCGAGAATCGGTTACTAAAAACATAAAATCATATTCTGGAATTATATAGTAAAATAAATTTATTTTTAATAAAATAGTCACACTTTTTATATTTATCATCTAAAACTTCAGTTTAATATTCCTATTCGCTTTGCGTTCAATCATTGCTATCGCTAGACATTTGCTGTTGCAACGGAGGCAGCCGCTTTTCGAAGCTTTCATTACCTAATGGAGAATGCATAGAAGAGTTCGAAGAAGAGCTATTTGAAGACGTAGTCCAAGCTTGGCGACGCTGGCGTCGATTACGACGTGCTAAGCTGAGAACTGAACCAACCACAGGAGCACCCATGGAAAGAGAACTGCGATGTGCTCCGGCCGAGTGAGAAACTGCAAAAAATAACACAATTTAAAAATTTGTTATCAAGCCAAGTTACTTGCTATACACCTGAAGCCGGTCGTTGCGACTGATCGGAAATGCCACCTTCAGAGCCTGCACGCTGAGGCGCTGTTGCGGGTCTACGCGTAGCAGCAGTCACAAAGGCCAACGATGATGCATTCGACTCTGCGCGTGAAGAATCAGAGTACAATTCACTTGAAAGCGATGAGACCTCACCATCCGTTGAGGAGTTCACGTTGGCTGGTTCAATGGTGACCGTGGCTTGTGCAATGCTTTCCTCCCGCAGTACTGCTCCATCCAGCAGGCGCAGAGTGGGTATACTACGTTGCAGTGTTGTGCGATAGAGCGGCAAATTAACGACCGGATTACCTTGCAGTTCTAATTCTTGCAAATTGGGGCACAGTCCAAGAAAGGTGAGCAGACCCAAGTCACTTATACGATTATTTTGTGCGCTCAGGTGCTGCAGTAATGGCAGCTCGGTTAGGGGATCTACGCGCTGTATCATATTACCATCGGCGATGAGTATACGAACAGCTGGCAACCCGCTAGTACCATCAAAGCTATTCAGCCCACAATTACTCACGTTCAGGTAGTTCAAATGCATCAAACCATAGCCGAGATCGCGCAACGAACATAGCACGCTGCCACTTAAGTCGAGATGCTGCAGGCGCGGTAAGAACAGTGGCAAGCGTGCCAGACTGATGGTATAAGAGATGACGCGCAGACGCACCGTTTCTACATTGTGCAAATCGTTGCGGCCAGTGACACGGCGCTGGATATATATAACAAACATAATAAAGTGAAAATTCATGTGATTTCCTTTATATTTTGCAACTCACCAGCAGTTCATCCAATGAAGGTTCGGGCAGCTGTGGCGGCAAATTTATTGGCAGCAATTGCACCACCGGCACCACTGGCCAATGATTCTCCTCTTCCAATGCAGCAATTTCGCGATCGAAATCACTGAAGCGTGGCAGTGGACGTACACGCACAGGATTCGCACTCAATAGAGGCAAGCGGCGTACATTTGCTGGCGTCTCAGGTGGTTGTACGCGTATCTCAACGGCGCCAGCGGGCAGCGGCTGCATCGGTTCGCCCACACCTGCTACGTTCCCAACAGCTTCAGCGGAATAGGAGTTCTCCGGTGAAGATTCATCGTAGCCAATGGGCGCCTCTAAATTGGGCATTTTTGTGAATTAAACTCGAAAAAACGGTACGCAGCTGCATTTATATGGCGCGGTTTTAGTGAACTGACGGATGAAGATTATTTTTCAAATTATTGATCAAACATGAATAAAAAAGCGTCGACAAGGACAACGGTACAAATGCAACCGAAAATTTATGAAAACAAAAACAGCGGCAATTGCCATTCTGACGGCAAGCGAAGTAATGAAGCAAACAATTAGTAAAATAGAATAAAATTAAATTAAATTAAATTAAATTAAGTTAAGTTAAATAAAATAAAGTAAAAAATAAAATTAAATTAAATTAAATTAAAATAAATTAAATTAAATTAAATTAAATTAAATTAAATTAAATTAAATTAAATTAAATTAAATTAAATTAAATCA